TTAAGGATGTTACTCAAAATAACTCTGAAGCATTTATGAGGAGATAAACTGAAGAGTTGAGGTAAGGAGGTTTCAGGTGGCAGGCAGATGGCTTATGTTGCCCAGCTGCATTATCAGCTCTCCAGTTAAGTTCAGAGGAAAGCAATTACACCTTGAAAAGGGACTACACAAGCTTCATGATTACTTCCATAGGATCACACTGCCTCTGCTAATCTCCACAGAAGTTTACACTGCAGGTGTTACAAGGTCCTGAAGACTGGAATTTCTCCAGCATTACTTCACTGATATGCTTGTCTGAGCTCTGGAGGGGATGAGAAGCAAGCACACTTTTCACAGTGCATTTATTTTTGATCCTAGACTGGAAGGAGCAGCAAGCAGACACCACATGCCCCTAGCTTTTGTTCAGCATAGGCCTGCTCAACCCCCATTGACCATTGGTATGTAGAAGCATCAGCTCTTAGGACAGAATGAAAGTACAAAGGCTTTTAATCTATAAATAACTTGAAGAGCTATTACTGACTTAATTTCTCACCTCCTTGACTCATGACTTGAGCTATGCAGGGGGCTCTGATTAGAGTAGCATATAAACTGGAGCACATCCCAGAACAGACTGGCAGACTTCAGCTCAGACCAGTCACTTGTATCTAACAGGCCTAGGGCTGTGCTTTACATGCTTTAAAGTTGAGACCAGATAACGGTCAAAGGGCAAAAATGGTTCTCTAGAAACTATCACTACAATGTAAGTGAAAGCTGAATCATGTCTCACTTAACTGACTCATCTTCAGTAAATTGAGGCAGATGTGTAGGCAGATTGTGCATTCATGAGGGAAAAAACTCCCTGAGTAACATCTAAACCCAAGCATTGCTGTGTACCCCATCACTATTTCTCCCCACTCAGTGTATCTACACACACATTGGCCAATAAGCTCCACAAATACTTCGTCAGTACCATTTAGATACAAGAATTACTTGAGACAAGCAATGTTTAGCATAAGTTTATTTGCACAAGAATTTCAGAATCATTAAGGTCCAAAACCCACTTTCCAAGAATGACAAGTGAACACCACAGTGCAGAACAGTAGACAAAGTTACTGTGACCAATCTCACATTTGGGCTCATCACAAATCCAAATATTTCTAGTACCTTGTTTTGCCAGCTTAAAAAAAAAAAAGACTCATTTCTTCCAAAGAGGTATGAGAAGGATTTTCCAAGAGCTGACTTCTTTTAATAGTAAAAAATAATATAAGAGATAAACATGGAAAAAAAGGCCTTCTAAATTTCAACAGAAAGTGCAATTCTAATCAGAAAGAGACAAGCCCAATCCAGACACTTCAGTGAGTGACCTTCTCTTCCAATACAATGAGAAGAGCAGGAGTGCTCCAAATATTCCCCCCGAAAGCTTCTACAACTACAGCCCAGCATCCCACCATATAATAGTTTCATTGAAATTAAAGAATGCGTATGAAATACACTTCACCATACTTCAGAAATGGTTGAGTAAGACTTAGATGCAAAGGCTGGAAGTATTACTATCCATTTGGCTCTCTCAATGCCCAAGTTAAACCAAGTTGCCAGTGACTATGATCAACTTATTCCTTACTCCTGTGCCTAACAATTATGGCACCCTGATTGAATGAGTTGAGAGGGACAGTAAACAAGTACTATCAGTACACTGACAGCTTAGAATTGAAGAAATTTGTCCAAGTTGCCTTCTAAGAGGCCTTTTCCCAAGCACTTGTATAGTGATAAGCAGAGATCACTACCAACATTAGTAGCTATTCTTGTGATCAGAAACCCACAAAGCCTAGGCACAAAACATACCAAATGCTTAACCCCAGAACTCAATCCCAAAAACATGGGTCTAAGTTTCAATATTACATACTGCTTTGTAGATAAGATATTGATGTTAAAATAAAATGTGAGGCTCTTTTAGAAAATGGTTACTCAAGAGAAAGCAGTAGTCTTCAACCTCCAGCTTAGTGATTGACTGAAGTAGCTGAGGACAAACACAGCAACAATTAAAACTTGAGCTGAGGGAGCATGAAGTATGCTCTACCTTAAAACTTTTTCAGAGTGACCATGGATCAGCATAGGGATTTTACCAAAGTGACTAAAACCCAGTCTACTACTAGGTCTCCTTGGTAGCATCTTTATCAAATAAAAAAAAATCTGTCTTACAATGAGGAAGTCACACCAACAAACTGTAAGTCAAGGGAGACTTGGCACTAAATATTGACAACAGATGCTGAACCTCAGACTGGCTTAGCCCAGCAGAGCTTAAGCTACAGAAAGAAAACAGCTATTTTAAACCACACAGTCTAGTTTACTAGAAGCCTAGTCCTGAGGAATGATGCACTCATACAAGACTTGCAGTCTAGTGTTACTGCAGCTTTGGTTTGATGCCACTGCCCAGAGGGAATGTGTTAGGGTAATAGTCTGAAATAGAGTAGTCTTTCTCTAACCTCCACTTGACACAAGTGGGCAACAGAGGATAGAGCAGGTTTGCAGAGGCATTAAGTACTGACAGGAGACCTAATCAGGCAGGCAGCCTAGACATGGCCTAGGGTCATCATTTTTAACTGTTACCTAGCAGTCATTCTCATGTTACTCCTTGCTACAGGGGCCACCATGAGCCTGAACTCAAACCAGCTAGCACACACCAAATGAAGCTAGTGCCACATGCAACATCAGGCTGCTAGGACAACTTGAAACAGAAAGAGGTAGGCTGCTGGCAACACAGTGATAGAAAGCTACTGAATATTCCAGCTCTACCTGCCAAGCCAGGATTATTTTGAAGGTAGTGAGACAAATAGTGTTCCAGCAATCCTGTATACAGTAGGGCCAATGCAGCTGTGGTGTGCAGCTTCAGGATACAGTTTAACTATTCAAGAGCTTAACATCCAGGCTACAAAGCATTGATATTTCTAATATGCCAGAGCAACCTAAGAGCCAGGCAGAGAACACAGCAGTCCTGCAAGGCATAAACTCAAGAAGTCAGCTGTTCAGAGAGCAGCCATTCAACATAAAGATTCCTTAGAGGCCTCAGCAACAAGTTACATTAGCAAAAGCACAGTATTTATGGCAGGAAGCTTAAATTCTCCATAGCTCTATCTCAGTAGGAATCCATTAAAGCCTTTTTTCCAGCACATCTTTTTCCAACAGATGCACCTGGCCTGATGTCCAGCAGCCAAGGCAAAGACTAGTAAAACGTAAGTCTGCTTGTTTCAAGCTTGTGAGGACTCCTAAGCATCTGACCCCTTCTTCCACATGAGCTGATGCACAGGAACAGTTTCTAAAGATCAGCCATGAGATTGCACAAGACAGATACATGACTAAGTTATTTGATATGCAAATCAAACATGTCCCTTTAGGCAATGGTTTACTTCTGCAATGGGTACAGCTTAGGTTGGCTTTAAAAACAGCTATCTAAAAGATGACAGCAATTAAACTCCTAAGCAATACTTCCTTCTTTCTAGTGACACTCTATGCTAAGCCAAGCATTGCCTTGCATGTCAAAGTTCCTCATGTCTAGGTTCACGTTCCAGCAGTAAGGCTGCACTAAGTTTAACACACATGACAACACTGGCATCATGTTAGTTTTTTAAAAAGCCTTCTAAATAGTCAAAGTCTTGGGTGAGATGCCTTGTCTGTAAGCTACATCAAGTCCAAACCACAGTTACTGAAAAAGGCTGGGTTCACTTTCAAGTTTAGCTACTTTGACTACTCAGGAAGCCTTTAATGAAAAAAGCAACCAAAAACCACACAACAGAAGACACCAAATTACTCGTCTATTTGCTACTGAAGTTGCTTATAAGACTGTTCAAAAAGATTAAGCTAAAGCATGCTTGGCTATAGTCTGCTTTCCAGATTGTATCCCTCCCTGCCTTCCTAAGCTAAATGAAGTCTGAACAAAAGAGTAGCCTCACTGCTTTATTGAGGCAGTCTTTATGAAGTAGTTATGAAAAGTGAGAGAACTTGCAATATAACTAGAAGGTTTTGGTCCTATGAGGAACAGGCAGGTTTTTTTACTGCCATTTAAATGCTGCGCTGCTACTTCTTTCCACCTTGATCAGTAACCATACATTGGTGTTTCTTCTGCTTTACCTTCTAAGTTTAAATCATTTGTTTGATCAGACATAAGCTTTGTGTTTGGTCTCAAGCTTACAGAGAGCTAGAAGTCATAAAAAAGGTTTAGCAAACAAGTATTCTTAAACATTGCATCAGTACATAATAAATAGCTCTAAGATTTGCCTTTCTAGTCTACTTCTCTGGTTAAGCAAAGGAAATTAATTTGCTGTATGTATTTTACTATTGCAATTCAGTGAAAATCATCCAGTTAATATACCACTTTCTAATACCACTATATACATAACTGGGGAATTTTTAACCTTCCTTATAAAGCAGAGGAGTTTCAAAGCAGCAAGTTCAGCACATAGCCTTTGGGAAGGTCAGCCCCCTACACCTTCAAGGGACTACACACTCTTGCAGAGGCTGTTCTGAAAACAGGGGCAGACTTTCACCACACACCGCCTCCATAGAGAGCCCTGCTTAGGGTTTATACACCTCTTCAAGTGTGGGCTAAGACCAGTAGGGAGGAAGAATTTGACTTTAACCACTCAAAATACCATCTCATGCAGTGACCAGGTGATAGTGATAAACCTGTAAGCTCAACCCTTAAGTGGTGACAGAAAGACAAGCCTTCAGGACCTGCCTGAAGTTGTACAAGAAGAAATTCATTTTAGGAGGCACTTCAGGAATTTATGCTGTGGCAGGAGTGCACATAATCCTGCAACTTAGTGGTTTGGGTTTGTTTTGGGTTTTTTTTTTTTGCTTGGTGTGGACCTGTGAGGAAGAAAGTCAGGCTAAACCTCAGTGTAAGAGCTGTGCTACTTTCCAACTGTGCCAAAAATTGTTTTGAAAGATGCAGTCAGAAAGGCTTTATCTTGAGCCTGGACTTAACAGTATTTGTTCCATCCTAACTATTCAAACTGTGGTTCCAATTCTATTTCAGGCTTCAATTCCTCATTTCAAGGACTTTTCACATTAGCAAGTTTCAGAGTGTGTTTTGGTGCATGTTTAGAGATGCCACCTTCCAAATTTTTGTACTCAAGAAAAGTTTAGCCAGCTTATGCTTTAGAGATAGATTTACTAATCCATCTTCAACTTCCAAGAAATTAATCTTGAACTTGAGGCAGGACCATATATCCCTAGGTACTACAGGAAAGAACATTTAGGCCCTCTATAAGACAGACAGTATCCATTCTGTTACCAGTTCTGTCCAGCCAGAAAGTAGAAGCAGCCCAAGCATGACACAAGCACAATTAGTTCAATAGAAAGCTGGCCAGAACTTGAACTGAGGAAGTGTAGAGTAATGAGGTTAGGCAATAGAAAGCAGAGAGTTTTGCTGCTATTCCACAAGTGGCTTCTGCTCCACTCAAGACATTTTACAGTCTTTCCTCTACTAACTAACCTGGTTTACTGAATACTCCACTTAGATCACATGTTAATAGCCACTTCCAGAACTAGTACAGAGTTTTGTAACTACTACTCTTAACATTTGGCTGCTGGTTCTCTTCTAATGAAGAGGTAATAAGGCTTCTTGGCATTTGTAGAGATATACTGAAAGGTTCATAGCTGGTCACCTGGTTGCATATTCCTACCACACACCAGGAAATGGACAGTCCGATGCAGTCATGTTTCCATTAGAAAACCTCCAACTAACAGTTATTTCTTATCTATATACACTCAGCATGTTGGCCTTCAGTAGCCTCCATCTACTCAAGAACACTCAAGCGAAACAATCAATTGCAAGGCAACCAAGTGGGGTAGGACTGGCTGTACGGCACAGGAGCATTTGCAAGATAGTAGTTGCTGAAGTTTACATCACTAACATAAGGTGCTGGCTGGTAATAACAGGTAACATTAGTGGCATTAGGGATGATGTTTTGTTCTGCCAGTACTTTGAGTGCCAGCAGCGAAATCAAGTTGAGAGTCTGCCTTCGCTCATGTCCCATGAGACAGACTGTGCTCTCATTCACCACCCTGCGCAGAATCATGAGGTAGTCATATTTGCTCCTTTCTTCTTTGGAGAAGTGGTTCTGGAGGTAGGTCTCTAGTTTGCGCTGCTGATCCAGGATGTCTGGAAAGTCTATGAAGAATCGGGAGCACATGTAGCGCTCTAATGTTTTGATCTCATCCTTATCCATGGGCCTGAAGTCCCGTACTAAGAGGTTACTATACTTCAGAAGCCCACCACCTCTGATCTCTTCAGGATTTTTGGTAGCTATCAGCTTGTTCTGGAGGTGATCAAAAGCTGCTTCAAAGTCTCCATACATGCTCTCCCCGATCACAGTTGGATGGAAATGTTCTGACATGGGGGTTTCTGAGTAGTCATAGTAAAAGAGCAGGGAGTCCAGTATGATTTGGAAAGAGTCCACACTGAACTCAAACTGTCGTCTTATACAGTCTACAAACTTCAACTCCACATTCCTACCATGTTTGTTGGAAAGTGATATCAAGCTCCAGCGGTCAGATTCTGTGTACACTTTGACTAGCTTCTGGATGTAGGCTTCCTTCAGTGTTACTGGACTGATTTTTAGCTTGCTTACTCCTTCTGGCAAGAAATTCAAGAGGGATCGCAACACCACATCTCGAACTAACTGAAACTCTGCCTCACTTGGAAGAGAAACTTGAAAAATGAGATCCAGGTCTTTGCATCCCAGCCCATTATCCTTGACCAGGACATGACCAGCTGCAGAGCCATTCAGACGGACATCATGTACCACAATGCCTGCTTCACTCAGCCTACTCCGAACAGTCTGAACAATGTCCTTCAGAGTTAGCTTCAGTGTCGGGAAGTTACCTCGTCCATGGATCGGAACCACCTCTGTAAGAACCTCATGCAGACGGCTGACCTGCTCCCAGTTCAGTACACTGCATGACATGCAGTCTCTGTTACTTCCTTTGCCTGCCATCTTAAGGTTTTTCTTCTCCAAAGAAACTGTAAGGAGGTGGAATAAAAGAAAAGAAAAGTCAGACTTTATGTTTAGACTTCCTACATATATCCTGTACTCTGCTTTTCTGTCTACACAAAGACACAAACTAGAAAGAAACAATTTTATGTCCTAATGATTATCAGCGGGCCTTTCACATGAAATGATACACAGCTTCTTCATTGGTGCAGGCAAAAGATTTAGTTGTCATCCTTTTTTTTGGTGAGGTAGAGTTAAGTACTTCAGCAAAACAGTTTGCATCAAAGGGAAATCATCAATGAAGATGACATATAAGCTTCACCCAAGTTTAAGATCATCTGCAGCACCAGCTGAAGCCAGATGAGCCATAAGTGCAAAGCACTTCTGAAAGTTAAACTTTGAACTTGTTTCATTATACATAATGCTCAAACTGCTCTCTGCAACTAACACAATAGTGGAAGACACTCATGTGCCAGTTTCAGGGCTTAGACATCCAGTCCACTGAGAGCTTTAATTATGCCAGAGATACATGATTTCTTCCTTTTCATAGAAGTTTTTAATTTCTCAACCATCCAGCATCTACCACCCATGGGATAAGGGCCAAGTACACCTTGCTCCTGCAAAAAGCTACAGCACAGCAGTTGAAATTCTGTCCAGGATGCTGAAAAGTCAGACAACTATTCAATTTGCACTCCAGTCTTTGTAAGCAACTCTTTACCCTTCTTCAGATACATTGCATAATCAAAATACCTTTTTGGAAATACTCATGCTTGCCCCAACCTTTTGCTCACATATTCAGATGATGTACATCATGTTAGTGTTACTCTAAGGACTTGAGAACCTTACTGACCAGACTTGGCGACAGCCTCATCTGAAGTTTTGCACTTTAAGGAGTCTTGTCACAGTTGACCAGATCACTCTCCTGTGCTTAAGTGGCTTGTGTTTTGAAGTATGTAGGTACTTACATATGTTCTACAGTCATGCAACTCCAACTGGTATTAATACACTTTTCTCTTTTTAAGTGTTCCAGGTTTCTATTGTGGCCAGGTGCTTCCTGACAGCTACAGTCTAATTGAGGCCTCACCTTCTTCTGCCCCAAGTACTTGTGAAGACTGCAGCTGCCAAGGTCAGACTAGTCAGACCTAAGGTAGTTAACTCTTGCCTACCGGGAACTGTTTAAAACCCAAGCATATAGTTGCCTAACATGCATCAACATAGTGCATGGAACACTTTTAAAGCAAGATTCAAAGAGCAGCTATTGTCATTTCATGCCTTTGTCATTTCTTCCAGCTTTTAATCTTTTTAGAGCTCATTTGATCCATCACTTCTTCTACAGAAGAGAGTCAAATTCAAGATTAAATATACAGTAAGATAAAAATGCTCCTGGGTAATCAATTTCTGCCCTTGAGCATGAGCTGCTGCACTACAAGCTCCTGTGGGTTCCATAGCTCCAGCAGACATGAAACAAACTGTGATTTGTAAGATGGTTTCATCCAGGACAAATCAAGGGGTTCTTCAAACTCAAGGCTGCAATGTAGCAGAAAACCAAAGGCATCAAGCCTGCCAGCATTTGCCCTCAGGCACCTCAAACACATTCAAGTACATTTTCATCTTATAACCACTGTATTTTCATTAAATCCTTCAGATTACTAAACAACACAAGAGCCTTCCATAACTTCTGGCTTAAGCTGCAAGTCCTTTCAGTTACTACATCTGACAGTGCTCCCTCTCTTCCTTCCCATTTGTAGCCTCCTCAGCAGCTAAGAAAACATGCAGAGCCCACCCAGGGACCAGAAAGGACTCAGAGCAGTGCTTCCCACCCCACCACACACACTTGGTTCTGCTTGGTGATCCTCACCTAGAAGGGTAATGCATGTTGCTGGTGTTGGGGGGAAAATAAAGTATTTAATTTCCAGTTCAGTGGAGAGTTTAATTCTCAGGCTGTCAACCTATGAAGCCTCCCACCCCCAAATCACTCATACACCTGCCTACTCTACAAGATTTCTGTTAGTGACAGCAGGATCTTAGTGACTTTAATGTACTTGGGATGCTAGCAGTTCACATGCCTTGTTTCATTTGCCATCACAAGATGATCCGATATCTTCAGATGTTCATTCACGAGGAAAACAACTCTGAAGCAGAGATAGGCGCTACCTGTTTTTAATACCAGGAGTAAAGAGCATTGTAGCTTCACATGGATGCAAATCCCAAATCCGAGGCAGAAGGAGCAAGGACCACCTTTGTCATAACGAAGTACACAACTCTGCAGCAGGTTTCCCTCTAAAACATAGCTTGACACAACACCTACAAAACCCTGACGACCGTACCCGCAGCAAGCGGTACCCCTGTGACACTCCTTTTTTTTCCTCCTCCAAACCCGAGCGGCACTGCGGGAGGGGAGGCTCAGCTTCCCTTACAAGACGTTTTCTCTTGAGAGGAGAGCCGAGCGCGCTTTGCTGAGCCGGCGGGGGCGATTCACACGGTGCACCGCCGGCTCAGCTCCGCGCACGCAGGACCCGCACTCACCTGGGCCACGCCGAACTCGCCGTTAAGCCGTTTAAAATAATAACCATCATTTTTAAAGCGTTACCAAGAGCTTGCCTCGAGGAGATTCCTCATGTAAGTGACC